CACCTAATATTACATTAGGCTGGCTATACACGTTCAAGTAAACTTAATACTTGTCAAGTATGCATGCGCAAGTAATTTATACATATTTATTGGACATATATGAAACAAAATTTTAATTTGATTAAAACCTATCTGTGTCACTCTTGGATCTCATTTGTTATTTGTCACCTACCGCAATATTTCCATTCAATATTTAATTTCATTTAATAAAAGAGCCAGTTAGAATTTATATCTATATACATATTAATGTAGCATTATATACATTTCGAATTTATGAATATATCTATATATATACGTATATATATATATATATTAAATTATATATAATATATATAATAATACATATAATTTAATACAAAATATTGCACATACATATATAGGGTGTTTCAAAATTCGCGCCTGCAAAGTACAAGACGTGATACTTTATGCTAAAAGAAATAACATTTTCCTTTTGCAAAATTGCATCTAATAAGTAATTTTTGCAGGAGAGCAGGTTGAAATTATACGAGTAAACGCAAAAATTATTTATTAAATGTAATTTTACTACAGGAAAAAGTTGTTCGTTTATTAACGCTTAATTTGAATTTCGAGCCATGAGTGAGAGCGCACGAGGCAGCATGATGGAAGACACGTCTCTCCTCAAAGATTTCTGAGACTCTAGCCGGTCGCCATGTTTGATTCTTCTTTGTTTTCAAGGCACAGAAAGGAGCGATCGTTATTATTTTTCTATTACAGCGTTTAGTAAAGAAGACAACCTTTACTTGTAATACTAATTCTAACGTTTGTATCAAAACAAATAAAACAGGTCAATCAAATCAGTAACATTGTTTTAATACAAAAAACAACTTTTTCCTTTAGCAAAATCGCATCCGATAAGTAATTTTTGCAAAAGAGCAGGTTGAAGTTAACAAATAAGCGCAAAAATTATTTATCGGACGCAATTTTATTAAAGAAAAAGTTATTCATTTTAGCATAAAGTATCACGTTTTGTACTTAGTGGGCATGAATTTTGAAACATCATGTGCGTGCGTGCGTGCGCGCGCGCGCGCGTGTGTGTGTGTGTAGAACTCGTTCAAAAAATAAAACTCATCTATAATTATATCAAGTTATTCGAAAAGTTTGTTTAAAATTTCGCGCGCTCTGTTTTGCTATGGTAAGCCCGGATCCTCATAAGGGCGACAGCTATTCTCTCCGTAACTCCTCCCTTCTGCCACACGATATTATACATACACACACACATACACACGCACGCACGCACGCACGCACGCACGCACGCACGCGCGCGCGCACGCACGCACGCACACATGTATAAATCTGTACATATGATTTAGATTATCAAAATTGTATTATTCTTATTGTATTTATTTTCTTTTTATTTCTATTAAAAAATGTATGATCAATATTGTTTTTTTTATATTATATCATTATTAAATTAACTCCCCAGTAGTCTTTATTCAAATATAACCTCTCCTCGTATTCTTAAGTTCTCCCACGATTGCACTTCGCTCTCTCCCCAGTCACTTGGATTAAGTTCCATGACCGAAAGCCAGGGCATACGGTCGTACTGGCGCAGCTGGCGTTAAAGTGCGCCCTCTCGGCACACTGACCCAGTCTGGGCCCTTTAACTTAAAAGTACGCGCCGACTCGTGTGTCTGTTTAGCGGAGCACGAGCAGAGGTTTCCGTTTCATCCTCCGTTCAACCCCCGGCTCGTTAGGAGCCTCAGGATGAAGCAAAGTGCCTCCCGATTTGCGTCGATCCTTCCTTGCGGTCCGGAGCCTGGACACGATCAAATCGGTCTAACAATTCGGTTCCTTGTTACTTTCACCCCCTCAGCTTCGCATTCGCGCGGAGCTTGAACGTAATATAATATATGTATATAAATTTCTTTTATATCAGCTTTTTCATAACATTTTCATAAATATATAATTACATAATATTTCTTTATACAAATATACATTTTTAATTTGATTTAATATTATATTTTTCTTTATTTTTCAATATATTTACAATTTATTTTTATTAATTTTCATAAAATTTAAATTATTTCATCGCAATATTAGGTTTATTCGCGTCACATGCTCTAATATGCTCCAATATGTTCCTATAATAGCACTTATTCACTTCAACAAATTCGGTGAATTGCGATGCGAATAAATATAGCGAGTTTTGCGAGGAATTTTGACAAAGGATGAAAAGAGAAAGAAGTTTAGGTGGTAACCATAGCAACGCTAGGTAACTTACTTATTTCACGCATGCGTATTCCATTTTGGTCAACACTAACATCAGAAGTACCGACAGAGAGTTGCGCTACTGTATATACTGTGACTTGGCCTTAGAATTCTAATTAGCCATGACGTTTATCTGTCGCTGCATCGCCATTCAGTCGTCTATTCATATGAACTGACAGAATAATTGAGTGAAGCAAGTAATTTGACTGAAACTTTTCCTTGGCCGAAATTGTGAAATTTTAATTATATAAATTTTATTTTGTATTTTTACTCTGATGAGAGAATGAAAAATCTGATTTTTCTATTTGCTAATTGCTATTTACAGCTATTTGCTACTTTGTCTATTTATTTATGAGAAATTAAAAAATTTAATATTTAATTTTTCTAATAGTAAGAAAATGGAAAACATTGTATATAGACTTTGGGCTCGTGTTACTATTAATCGAAAAAAGTTTCTGTATTATTTTTTATATTAGTTTATTTCGAGCTAGATATTATAGATATTAAATATTCGAATGCATACCTATTGCAATTAAAATGTTCATAATATTCGTTAAATATTTGTATAAGTACATGAATCCTATCTTCATTTCATGCACTTTTTTTACAAGACATCTCGGCTTATTTTATCTTAATCGCCAGTATTTAACATAAATTGCGGCGAAATCTCTATGTGTGTTACAGTTAACAATCACAAAAATATGTAGGCTCTAGTTGATATAAATCAATAATGATTGAAAAGCCTCTGAGAGCCAACGTAAGTTATTGTTGCCAATAGTGATTTATTATCTCATACACACAATAATTAATAAACGTTTCGATCCATGTTTCGGGTCCTCTTCGGTAATATGATAAATAACAAAGGTGAGACTTCTATATTACATAAAGCGATGTTGGCATAAAGAATTGTTCGGTCGAAGCACATGGATTGCTTTTTCGTCAGTTATAAATCGAATCCATCGAAGTTTTTTGCTTTGGATGTACATTAAATTTCCTGATTTAATAGCGATCGCAGTTTAATGTGTCTATAGCGCTGTTCTATGTACACAAGTCATGATCATAATATTACAATTAAATAA